TCTGTCCTGCCAGCTGGCTTCTCTGAACTCCACAGGTGACTTCAATTACTTGCCACCACTATCATAGCCCTCAAAGGAGAAATGACCTCTCCAGTGGCAACGCCCAGAGGCTGCTTTTGAACCATCAGCAGTTTCATTTGTGCAAGGACTGTGAGCATTTTGCCCCAGGCCTGATCAGCGAGTTTTGTATTCTGGGGTCACTGGTTAACCGTGGAGCTAAGGGGTGTCTTTCAGACTCCCCTCCTCCAGGGTCCCCTCCTGAAAAGCCTCAGTGCCCAGAGGAGGCCAAGGCCCATGGCCTTGCATCATGGCCCCTCACCTCCTGGCCTCACATTCTGTCTCTGCCACCTTCATCCTGCACTCCAGGGTCTCCAAACACAGCTCTCTGGCCCTTAATCTCGCTGGTCCCCTGCCAGAAGCACGTGCTCAGCCTTGTCCTGCAGGCAGAAGCTCATCTTCTGTAGCAGCTGCCTTCCTGTCTGTACCCTCACCGTTACCATTTCAGCGCGCGCCAGCCCCACCTCCTGCTGTCGGTACCTGGACTCCTCTGCCTGCAGCTTTCTCTGGCTTCTGGAACCTGCACTGCCGCTCTCAGCCGGTCAGGTTAGACGTGCCAGGAAATGAGCACTCTCCAGAGGCCGCACTCAGCCACTGAGCCTGTGACTGATGAAAGCTGGTGTGTCCACACACCCACCCCTGCTCCCTCACCCCTGTGGTGGGCTGAGTGTGAGGTGTGTGCTGCGTGGTCTCCCAGAGCGCCTCGGTGGGAGTGAGCCTAGTTGCCCGCAGGGATAACCGGTTTGATAAACCACCCTTATTGGCTGCCTGCCCCGCCTCACCTCCACACTCCCCACATGGCATTTCCTTCATCTCCCAAATAAACTACTCACATTTAAAGCTTTCTCTCAGGGTCAGCTTCTAAGGGAAGCAAACAGACATCATCTTCAATGTCCATCTCAGTATCACCTCCTTTTTGCAATTTCTTCTGAGCCTCCCTTGCACCCACTCCTGGGGAAGAACTAGTGGCCACTCTTCTTTGTGGCCCTGGCCCTCTATGTCTACCTCATCAGCACTGCTCTTGCTGCACCGTGATTTATTTTCTGCATGTCTTGGGGTCCCCACTGGCCTGGGAACTTTCTGGGGACAAATACTATGTCCTTTTCATCACCTTTTTATTCTCTGAGCCTGAGATGGCGCCTAGCACAAAGTTGCCTAATATAATTTTTTCCCCCAAAAAGCCACGATGGAAATGCAATAACTAAGAGAGAGTAAAAGAAAAATAAACACCATATATTAATGCATATATATGCGGAATCTAGAAAAATGGTACAGATGAAACTATCTTCAGGGCAGGAACAGAGACATAGATGCAGAGAACAGGCATGTGGACACAGTGGGGGAAGGGAGGGTGGGATGAACTGGGAGATTGGGATTGACATACACAGACTACCGTGTATAAAACAGATCGCTAGTGGGAAGCTGCTGCATAGCAGAGAGCTCGGCTCAGTGCTCTGTGATGACCTAGAGGGATGGGATGGGGTGGTGGGGTGGGAGGGAGGCCCAAGAAGGAGGGGATATATGTACACATAAAAATGATTCATTTCGATGTACAGCAGAAACTAGGGCTTCCCGGGTGGCTAAGTGGTAAAGAATCTGCCTCTGATGCAGAAGACATGGAAGACACGGGTTCGATCCCTGGGTCAGGAAGATCCCCTGGAGGAGGGCATGACAACCCACTCCAGTATTCTTGCCTGGAGAATCCCATGGACAGAGGAGGCTGGAGGCTACATTTCACTGGGTCGCAGAGTCGGACACGACTGAGCACGCATGCACGCACAGCAGAAAGTAACACAACAGTGTAAAGCAATTATATTCCAATTTTTAAAAAGTATTTTAGAAAGAAATAAATCAGTGAATAAAACAGAAAAAAAAAACAAAAGAGGGAATGAGTCCAAAAGTCCGTTCTGTACATCTGTGTCTCTTTTTCTGTTTTGCATATAGGGTTATCGTTACCATCTTTTTAAATTCCATATATATGCATTAGTATACTGTATTGGCCTTCATCTTTCTGGCTTACTTCACTCTGTATAATGGGCTCCAGTTTCATCTATCTCATTAGAATTGATTCAAATGAATTCTTTTTAATGACTGAGTAATATTCCACTGTGTATATGTACCATAGCTTCCTTATCCATTCGTTTGCTGATGGGCATCTAGATTGCTTCCATGTCCTGGCTATTATAAACACTGCTGCAATGAACATTTGGATGGCCGTTTAAAAAAAAAATTTATTTATTTATTTGGCTGCACTGGGTCTTAGTTACAGCATGAGAACTCTTTAGCTGTGGCATGTGGAATCTAGCTCCCTGACCAAGGATTGAACCCTGGGTCCCTTACATTGGGAGCATGGAATCTTAGCTGCTAAACCACCAGGGAATTCCTATGGATGGTTTTTAAGACCCTTCAGCACCTGGCTCCATCCTAAAAGACAATCGAGACTTCTGCTCAGAGTCAGGCTTTGGTCTCAACGGCAAGGGTACAAATTCTCATTCTGCCAGTTCCCAGCTAGGTGATTGTAGGAAAGTTACTTAGCTCCCCTGAAATAATAATACCTCACACCTATACTTATTTTGAGAATTTATAATCATGCACAGTCCTTGTAAGTATATTAAAACCATTGAATTGTATACTTTATAATGCTGGAATTTTATAGTACACAAATAGTATTTAAAAAAATTAATCATGGTGTCTGGCCCAGGGTAGGCTCTTTGAAAACAAAATGGTGGTTATTATTGTTACCAAGGAAGTTTTCCAAGGGAACCTAGCACCTGGTCAGACACAGAGTGGGTACTCTGTAAACACTGGTAGAACCAATGGATAACATATTTCACAAGTATGTTTGAAGCATGTCTAGGACAGCTATGTGGGGGAAAGCGGGGAGTGGAGGACACAGAGATTGCAAGCCCAGTTCTGCATCCCTTGGGAAAGGAGGCCCAACTTATTCTTGGTGGAGACAGGGTCTTAAGCCCAAACCAGAGAAAGGGACCTTTCCATCCCGCAGCGACTCACCACCCTGGGCATCTCCTCTTTGTTCTTGCTGTAGGGTCCCAGGTCACAGAACCTAGCCCCGCTGATTCTGAGCCATGGGTAAACGGAAAACACTTAACCCAGGCTGACAAATGTGTTCTTATATTTTTCTTTGACTCTGGCTGTATCCGAGGTTCTGGGAACTGACTTCAAACAGAATCTCCGAGCGTGGGTTAAGGCCCAGCTGCCAAAGCCAGGCCCGGAGGGCGCGGCTTTCCCAGGGCCGGTCTTAGGCTCTCATCCCCCCAGGACCCTTCCCCGGCAGAGAGGAGCGTCGCTCCAAATGCCGGGGCGATGGGGAAGAGGAGGTTCTAGCTCAGTAAAGCTGAGATTCAGGCTGAGGAGGGGCCGCGGGAGATTTCCTAGGGAAGAGTCTCTCTGAGAAGCCCTGGAGAGACGCCACAGCGCTGCAAACCCAGGCCCACCCAGGAGGGCTAAACCGGGGTCAGAGTGGAGCCGCAACGGGCCAGGCTGGGAGCGGGGCCGCCAGAGAGAGGTCTCAACTCTCTCCTCGCTCCCCTGACTGCGATCAAAGCCCGGCACACAGCAGGCGCCTACTTGGTGCAGGTTGCAGAGAAGCCTGGGGAGCTCGGGCCGCCCTCTGCCTGCTTGGAGGAAGCTTCTAGACCCGGGGGCTGGCTAAGTCTTGTGGTCGCGACGGGCCGAGGATGGGGAGGGCGCTGTCGCGTGGCTTAGGTGGCCGACTCCGCGTGGCCAGGCCCGGCGGGGGCAGAGGCGGATGGGGGAGCGCCCGGGTACCCACGCTGCCTAGGCCTAGGGACCCTCACTGAGGCGGCCCCTCCGGGCACTGGGGTCGGCCCCACACGCTTCCCCAGGAGATGTAAAATCTGTTTCTGGACTGAGATCCGCCCCCTCCCCCGTGTTGGGGCGCACCTTCAACAGAGACCCCCCCCAAAACCTCTGGGGGAGATGCTGTCTCTGGGCACAGGTCTCTCCCCACCCCCGCCCCGCAGAGACCCTTCCCAAACAGATGTTCCTAGGTTCAGACACCTTCTGGCTCCCCGGATACCGAGACCCTCCGGGAGGTGGGGAGTGGAGCGCGGGCGCAGACGAAGACGCGCACGGCCGAGACCATCTCTAGCCGTCACCCCCCCAGGCTCCCAGCATCTGGAACCGCGTCCCCACGCCCGCCACACGCGCACACACACAGATTCACACGCTCGCACACACACTCGCGCGCAGACCCCGCCCGCGGCCCCGCCCCGGCCCCTGCGGGCGCCCCCTCCGGCGCTAGCGGACCCCGCAAGCGGCCCGCCCCGGGTGACGGGAGGCGGCGGCTTCGGGCAGATTTGATTTTCCCGCAGCCCGGGCGCCCCGGAGCCAGAGCCCGAGCCGAGGAGGTGGCGCTCGGAGCCGCGTCCCCAGCCTCGCCGCCGCCCGCGCGGAGACCCAGCGAGTGGCGCCGCAGCCCGGGCGCTCCGGGCTCGCTCCGCGCTGCCTGAGTCCCGCCGCCCCCGCAGCCCGAGCTCCACTCGACCCCCCCCCCCACACCCCCTCTCCCTCTCCTGCACCCCTTCTGCCCCCACCCCGAGCTCCCCGCCCCTTTCCCGGTGCTCTCTCCACCACTCCGCGCGTCCCTCCCGGAGCCCTCGCCTCGCGCCCCTCCGCCTCTCTCCGCTGCGCCCCGGCTCCCTGAGCGCTTTGCCCCTCAACACTGGGTCCCCAGCCTCCTCACGGCGTCACCCGCACCCCCTCCTCTCTCCTCGGCCCCCGCTCCCTCCGCCCCCTTCCCTCTCTCACTTCCCACGCCCCCTCTTCGCTCTCCTCTCCCCTCCCTTTGCCGCCCAGCCCCGGCTCCGGAGTTGGGGGGAGAGCCCAAGGTTTCCGTTGCTCTGGAGGAGGCGTGAATCGCGCAGGGATTGACTAATTTGGGGTGGGGGACGCGGTGGGCTATGGAACAGCCCGAGGACATGGCGTCGCTGAGCGAGTTCGACTCCTTGGCGGGCAGCATCCCGGCCACCAAGGTGGAGATCACCGTGTCCTGCAGGTGAGCCGCCCACTGTCCGGGTCCCCCTGCCCCGCCCCTGGAGCTGGAGCCCCGTCTACCTCTGTGCGCCCCCTTCCAGAGCTTGCTCGTCTCCAGGACGCCCCTCTGCCTGTCGGGCGAGAGCCCCTGCCCAGCCACGGGTGGCAAAGGCGGAATGGGAAGCCAGGCTCGGGGTCTTATCCGGGAAAGTTTGCACGCCGGGCTGATGTTGCGAGGAGATAAGAAGACACGGGGGTAGGGATCCGGGAGCCCGGGGGGAGAGGGAGGTAGTGAACGAACACAGCAGGGTCTTCACGCCGTCTATTTCTGATCGTCCCCTCCCCAAGTGGGGAAGAGAGGATTTGCCTCATCCCTCCCAGGCGTGCCCAGCCGCTGCCTTCTGCGCCCTCCTTCCCTGCCTTCTCCCCGCTCCTTTGTCCCAACACCCCCACCCTCTCCTCCCTCCCTTCCTCCCCCCCCCCCCGCCCCCCCCACCCCCGCTTCTAGACCCCAGGATCCTAAAGCCTTTCTTCACCTCCAACAGCAAAACCGACTCTTTGGACAGGATCAGATTGGCTCACTCATGCTGAGCTGTGGATGACTGATAACAACTCGAAGTGGCACCATTAAAAAAACAATAACTGGGGTACAAAATCTTAAGCCAAAGGACCAGGATACTGAGTGTGGAAGTTTACAGTCAGCAGGGGAGGGAGAGGAGAGTTTTTGTGGGCTCCCACCCCTAAATCCTCAGCCAGGTCACACAGGCTTTGGGAGTCACCCGGGGGCCATCGGAGCTGGAAGGCTGAGAGGAAGGCTGCCCCAAGCAGTGAGGGCACAGGTGGGCTGGGGGGATGTCTCCCCTAGTGCAGTCACCCTGAGGCTGGCCTAGGGTCACTGCCTTGCGGGGACTGTGAGGAGCACTGTGGTCGATGCAGACCCCACCTCTGCAGGAGATGCCATTCCCCTGCCCAGAGTGACCAACAGCATCTTTGGGGTCCTGGGTGTGCACTTGTCCCAAATCGCCTGCCCCATCCTCTTCCAGGCCTCTCTTTGGTCGGATGTTTCACCCATTTCTGTGGCACCCCCCCCAACCCTGTATTCCCAGGTTGTGGCCCTGGGGAGGTGTGTGTAGATGAACCAGAGGAGCTGGGCTGGGGTGTGAAAGAGGAAGGATTCGGGGAGCGGGAATGGGGGTTAGGGGAGTAGGAGTAAGAGCTGATGTGGTCGAACATTGCTGTCCCCTAGTGTTAAGGCCCTTCTGGGGGCTCCTGTGATAACTCCCACATTTCTGTCCCACAGTCCCACACAGTTTTGTCAGAATCATCTCCCAAGGCCATTTGCATCTTGTCATTACTCTGCTGGAGACTCCTGATGGCCCGTTAGCTTGGGTCTCAGCTCCTCAGCCGTCCGCAGCTGCCCCAGCCCACGCTCGCCTCCCCTGTGGGCACACAGCCTGACACTCCTTCCCAGCCCAGCCTTCAATCATGCCTGTGTCAGAGCTGTCTCAGGGTCCTTTTCACCCCAGAACCTCTGAACGGCACCTTCTCCATCAGATCTCACGCGGTTTTCATCTCTGCCAGTTTATGTCCCCGCCCCCCCATCCTGGAAAGCATGGCCTCATGCTCCCCACTTCCAGCCATCCTTCTCACCCATGGGACACCCAACCCAAATCACTGCCTCAGGCGTCCACTGAGTCCTGAGCACTCAGCCTGGCCCAGGGGGTCTCTCACATACTGAGCCCAAAATATACATCTCGGGTGTATAGACTTCATTCCTCTTCCCCTAAAGTAACTGTTTTTTTCTTTCTTTCTTTCTCTTTTTTTCTTTGTGGAAGTGGGAGCCCCCACTCTGACTCTGATTCATGAACCCTCTACTTCCAGGGCAGGGAGAGGAGGCAGAGGGCACAGGGCACCGTGGCTTTGGATCAGACACCTTAAGATGGAATCTGCTCCGCCACCTGGGGCAAACTTTTAGCCTCGATTTCTCCCATTGGTCAAGTGCAAACCACCTGCAGCCCTAGGAGGTCCCATATTCATTGAGAAACCTTACTTGCCAAGGTAGCTCACATGCTTGGAAGCATGGCTGGCACGTAGCAGATCTTCAATAAATCCTGTTGGAGGAATTAACTTATGGGAGTAGAGGATCATGAAGGATCCAGCATGCTGCTTTCCATTTGCTTCACATACAGTAGGTGCTCATTAAATAGCTACAATGATTACTGTAAGGCAGTAGCACTTGGCCCCTCCTGTTTACTCTCTGAAAGTCGAGGTATCCAAAGACTCAAACCTTTGGCCTAAGTGGTACTCGGGGATGCAGTTGAGTTCCTGGTGGATGTGGTTCTGGGATCAACCCTGATGCTTATTCCTTTTCATGGGATATCAGGCTGGGGAGGGCATGACCCAGGCCCTGCTCTGCCACCCTCCCCGAAGCCAGAGGGTGGGGAAAATGGGGTTCTGGTAGGAAGGGGTGAAGGGAGGAGTCACCTGGAGCAGAGAGGAGGCAAGAGCACAAGGTGGGTGGGCTTGAAATCGTCAATCCATCTCTTTGCCTCAACCAAGTCCAACCCTCCAGTTTCTAGAACAGATTGAGAGAGGGAGAGAGAAGGAAAAGGAGGAGGAGGGGGAGAAGGGAGAGCTGCACTGAATGGCTTTCTCCAGCATATTCTATACCCCATGGCCACCAATTACTGGAAGTCCTGGCCTCTCCCGTTGCATTCCATGGTCAGCGTTGACTGAGCCCCAGGGGAGGAGGAGGTTATGGGATGCCCCTGCCCTGAGCATCTTGGTGACAGCTGCTGTGGGCAGGGAATAGTAGGGCAGGCAAAGGTGTTGATGGACTGAGTTCCAGAGGGCTTCAGAGCAGGCATCTCAGGATGAGGGGGCCCAGTGTTTCAGAGGAACTGGAAACTGTCCTGGGAGCTAGTTCCCTTCCCTCTCTGCTTCTTAGGAAGGCCCCTGCCACCCCTGCAGCCCTCGGAGGTCTCTGCTGTTGCCTGAGGGAGGAACTGACCCTGCACCATGCCTATCCTAGGACACTGCTAGCTGAGCCACACTGCTTGGCATGGGGACACGTGTAAGCCCCAGCCCAGGACCACAGTGGATGCCCACCCAAGCCTCTGCTGAAGGCAGATGACACTGTGGGGTGGACATGTTTTGGCCCCTGATTCTTCGTGTTGGTGTTTCCTGGGCTAATCTATAGTCTGTATATGTGTGTTTTTGTTAGTCACTCAGTCTTATCCAACTGTTTGTGACCCCATGGACTGTAGCCCACCAGGCCCCTCTGTCCGTGGAATTCTCCAGGCAAGAATACTGGAGTGGGTTACCCTTCTCTTCTCCAGGGCATCTTTCCTACCCAGGGATTGAACCCAGTTCTCCTGCATTGCAGGCAGGTTCTTTACTGTCTACTCCCAAATAACTGTTTTGACCGATTTTGGAAATGTTGTTGTTCAGTTGTTCATTCACGTTGACCCTTTGTGACCCCATGGACTGCAGCATGGTCCCAGGCTTCCCTGTCCATCACCATCTCTCGGAGCTTGCTCAAACTCATGTCCACTAAGTCAGTGATGCCATCTAACCATTTCATCCTCTGTCACTCCCTTCTCCTCCTTTGGTAAACTCAGGGTCAAAGATTTTAAAGCCTCTTTTTATCTGGCTCAGTGCTTAAGACCATGAGTCTGTGGGGTCTGTCTTCCTGGGTTCAATCCCTGTGATCCTGGGTAAAGTACTTAATTTGGGCCATGGTCTCCTCATCTGTAAAGGAAGTGTAATAATCCTTATCACAGTAGAAGGATTCAATGGATTAATCCAGGAATAGTAATTTATGTGCCTATTATTTGACACCTGAAAATAAATAAAAATCTGTCTCTATAGCTAGTTTGCGTGGCTCTTGGAGATCTGATCCATCTAGGAAGTTCTATTTCCCCCACTCCCAGCTTTATTGACATATATTTGACAAACGGTGTGCATTTAGACACTCTGAGGAGTTGTTTTGGGAATAATGGTTTGTGAAACCGGATTCCAGCAGACATTGTAGAAAGTGTGAGCCACGAGCTTCTTCCTCTTCTGATGATCTGTTTCAGACCTTCCCTGACTTTAGTAGTCTCCCTGCAGACCCAATCAAAACTTACCTGTCAAAAAAAAACATAAAAACCTCATCTGTCCAGTGCCCTGTTCCCAAGGCCCCCACTATTGCTCTATGCCTGATGCAGGGATCCAGACCAGCGTGTTGGTTAGAAAGGGCAATTTGCATTTTTTATGTAACAGAAACCTGTGCACTTCCCCGGGGTCTTGCTGGCAGAAGCAATGCACAGTTCTACATGGCGGGGTTCTTGACACGGGGAGGCAAAGAGGGGACAGCCCAGAGGCGGCTGGTGGCTTAGCCCTGCTGGGGTTGCCCAAGCGGCTGCCCACGCCCCTGCAGCAGACGTGGGGCTGGTGGGCAGCTGTTGCCTCTGCCCCAGAGATGTTGTTTTCTGCTGTCTGTTCAGGTTGGCGTTTTGCTGCCCTAGGGCTAGAGAGGCAGCCTAGCTCCAGAGCGGTGCCCTCAGCCTCTCAGAAGGGGTGTGAATGGGCTCAGAACGCTGTCTTCTGACAGGCAGAGTGAGGGTGGTTTTGGGAAGGAGGGGGTCTGGGGGCAGTGTGGGAGCTGTCAGAGCCAGTGCTGGGGAAGAGACGTAACCAGCCACTGAACATGTCAAGATACCATTTAGGGGAGCCAGGGGAATAATAATGGTGGGATTTATTGAGTGCTTACTACATGCTAGGCACTTAACATCTGTATTAAGCTGAACCACATGCAGTTGCCTAGACTCAACTGTTTTTAACCTACCCAAATAGCAATTTGGTCCAAACTCAGAGGATTTTTATTAGTTTTCAATTGCTGCGTAACAAATCACCACAATCCTAGGGCTTAAAACAATGGCCATTTATTATCTTACCGTTTCTGTAGGGTCAGCAGCTCAGATACAGCACAGCTGGCTTCTCTGCTCTGGGTCTCCCCAGGCTGAAATTGAGGTGTGTGCA